GGTCCTTGGTACTCTCTGATCCTGGTGGTTTCCTTGCAGACGTCTCATGACCCAACTAGGGAACATCATCAGGGCTAGAAGGGAGTGGGGTTTACAGAGAAGAGAAGAAGGAGAAAGAAGCCGAAGGAGAGAGAGAAAACTCTCTTTTAAGCTTCCCCCTTTCTGACTCTGGACTTTCTACCTTTTACAATGTGATGAAAGACCGGCTATCCGGTCAGCTGTCCCTCCTTTTGTTCTTTTTAAGGCCGCAGATAAGATTATCTCCTCGGTTTCAACCACCAGACTTTCTCTGAGACGTAATTTTTCCACCGCCCGGCTTTGATGTCTCCCTTTGGAGTTTTTGCAATGTCTCCCGATATGAGTAACCAGGCTGGGGAGAGGTTTCTGGGGTGGGGGGGTGGGATGAGGAAGGGGATGGGGGGGGGGTTTCAAGGAGTGGCTTCACTTCCTCCTGGTGAGTAGAGGAGGGTGGGGGTCTGCAACGCAGAGGGAGGGCTTTTTGCAGGACCCCAACAGCCAAACATCCTGGAATTGCTGAAGGAGGACCCCAGACCCTTTTGCAAAAGATCGGGCGCCTGGCGATGGGGAGCGCCTGGAAGGAAGTAAATATCATTCTCCCCCCCCCCCCCCAGAGAAAAGTTTGGGGGCAGGAATTCCAACTCAGGAGAGGGCCCATTTTCCCCTTTTTTTCTCTCCCCCCTTCCCCAAAATATGAACCCTGGATATGGAAAGTCCTGCACAAATCGGATCATCGGAAGCAGGCTGGCCACCCTCCCACAAGGGCCTTACTCAGCCTTGGCAATGTTAAGACGTGTGGACTTCAGCTCCCAGAATTCCCCAAGATGATGGTTCCCTTCATCCCTTACAGAAAGGTTGAATTAATTCACTGTTTCTCAACCTTTAAGACATGTAGAGTTCAACTACCCAGAATTCTCCAGCCCGCTTGGCTGGCTGGAGAATTCTGGGAGTTGAAGTAGGTTGGACTAGATGACCTTCAAGGTCCCTTCCAACTTTACTATTATTATTATTAAAAGTCACCAAGGTTGAGAAACGCAGTTAGATGAATTGGGCAGAGGAGCTGGCGCACTGGATCTCCCCCCTCCCCTCCTCTTTTTACACCCACCCACCCACCCACCCACCCATTTTCTCTCTCTTTCCTCTCCAGGCTGCCCTTCCGGGACGTTCAAAGCCAACCAGGGGGACGAGAGCTGCATCCACTGTCCCATCAACAGCCGGACCACGTCCGAAGGAGCCACCAACTGCGTCTGCCGGAACAGCTATTACCGGGCCGATTCCGACCCGCTGGAGATGCCGTGCACCAGTACGTCCGCCCGACAAGGAGGCAGAGAGGAGGGGGTGAACGGAAAGTTCTTCTTCCTCCCTCTTTCCTTTTTATGGCCTGGCAGCCCCAGACAGTCATTTCCTCACTCAGTTGGACAGGAACTGAGAGGTCATCTAGTCCAACCCACACCCTCTCTTTCTCCAGATTGCTGCCCTGAGGCCAGCAAGCCATAACTGTCACGTAATTTCACTTCTGCCTTCCTCTTTCTTTTTTTTTATTACCTGGCAGTTGTTCCTTCAAACCCCCCCAGATAGTCATTTCCTCACTGAGTTGGACGGGAACTCAGAGGTCATCTAGTCCAACCCACACCCTCTCTTTCTCCAGATTGCTGCCCTGAGGCCAGCAAGCCATAACTGTCACGTAATTTCACTCCTTTTTCCTTTTTTATTACCTGGCAGTCGTTCCTTCAAACCCCCCAGACAGTCATTTCCTCACTGAGTTGGACGGGAGCTCAGAGGTCATCTAGTCCAACCCACACCCTCTCTATCTCCAGATTGCTGCCCTGAGGCCAGCAAGCCATAACCGTCACGTAATTTCACTTCTGCCTTCCTCTTTCCTTTTTATTTACCTGGCAGCCATTCCTTCAGCCCCCCAGACCGTCATTTCCAGCGTGAACGAAACCTCCCTGATGCTGGAATGGACCCCTCCTCGGGATTCGGGGGGCCGCGAGGATGTGGTCTACAACATCATCTGCAAGAGCTGCGGCTCGGGGCGCAGAGCCTGCACCCGCTGCGGGGACAACGTCCAGTTCACGCCGCGCCAGCTGGGCCTGACCGAGCCACGGGTGTACATCAGCGATCTCTTGGCGCACACGCAATACACCTTCGAGGTCCAGGCGGTGAACGGGGTGACGGATCAGAGCCCGTTCTCGCCGCAGTTTGCCTCCGTCAACATCACCACCAACCAAGCGGGTAAGAATTTCAACGCTCTCTTCACTGCGGTTTCTAAAAGATTTTTTTTCTTTCTGATCTTCCGTTTTTCCGCCTCGTTCTTAAAGGCTTCCGTTTTTCCGCCTCGTTCTTAAGAGCTTCTGTTTTTCTGCCTCATTCTTAGGGCTTCCGTTTTTCTGCCTCGTTGTTAAGGGCTTCTGTCTTTCTGCCTCGTGCTTCCTGTCAACGAGGTTGAGCGAATGGTGCAAACATCGGGATCCTGAGAGTTGGACTTTAGGATCATAGAATTACAGAGTTGGAAGGGACCTCGGAGGTCTTCTAGTCCAACCCGGTGTCCAAAGCAGGACAAAGGGCTGTCCGATCTTTTCTCCGAAACCTTGTACGATCCCCCCCGCTGTAAAGCAGCCCTGTTTTGCCAAAGAGGCCATAACATGGCTTATCCTTGGCTTGTTTAAGGGCAAGAGCCTCTGCTATTGTCAGTCTGTTTGCCATCAAAGGATGAAAAACTCAACTCTACTCTGAACGCCGGGATTTTTTCAAACCCATCCCAGCCTCTTTGATTGACATTAGTGCTGGGGGGGAGGGGGAGGAGAAATGGGGCTTATGGAGAGGGGGGAGGGCTGAGGAAGGAAAGATCCAGGAGAGAAGCCCCCTCCCCAGAAAGTCCCTTTGCAAAAAAAAAACGGAGCTCTTTTGATCCGCAGAACAAATTTGGGTTAATTGTTATCGCTCTTCGTCACAGCTGCAGCCTTCAGCTCTGAAAAAGACCCCACTTTCTCTCCTTCTGCCTGTCTTTTGAGGGTGGGGGGAGTGAGAAATGAGGAGGGGAGGTGGGCTGGATGGTGATGGGGCGAGGAGGAGGAGGAGGAGGAGGACGACGACCCCCGGACACATTGCCAGCTAGCCCCCCCTAACCACCACCATCTCCAGTTTCTTGAAACCCTGCCAAGTTCAATCCATCCAGACCAGCCCCCTCCCCACGCCCTCCCCCGTCCTCGCCCTGTCTGGTGTCAGCTGCCAATTCTGCACAGCCCATCTCCCCCTCCCCCCCCAAAAACCCCCCTCCTGGATTCATCAAAGGACCTGAGGCTTCTTGGATCCCCTTAATCCTCGCCACTGGGGTCGGCACCCAAACAAGGGGGTCTCTGGGGAAGGGTTAGGAACGAGACGAGGGAAGCCGGGGGGGGGAGGGAGGGCAGCTGTGTTTTGAGGAGGGGGTCTTCCCCCCCCCTTCCAGCCTCCATTCAGAAGTTCTCTTCCCCTACCCACGGGCCACCGCTGAGTGGGGAATTTTGCTATTTTTCAATTAGCGTCCAGCAGAAGCGCTGAGATCGGAGGTCAGGTTAGCCATGTGGAAAGGGGAGGGGGAGCTTGGTGCAGGGAAAAATGGGGGTGGGGTGGGGGGTGTTGGTGGGGTGGGGGGTCTGGGAAGGGAGGGGGCAGCCTGGGCGTTTCTTGTTTGAACTTGGGGCTGGGCTGTAAAGTTGGGGTGCATACGGCGATTCTGGGCAATTGATCCGAGATCAATTAGCCAGTGGAACGACTGGCCTCCAGAAGTTGTGGGTGTTGCATCACTGGAGGTTTTCAAGAAGAGACTAGACCGTTATTGGTCTGGAATGTTATAGGATCTCCTGCTTGAGCAGGGGGCTGGACTAGAAGACCTCCAAGGTCCCTTCCAGCTCTACTCTGATTGATTGAAATGGTCTAGGCTCTCCTGCCTGAGCAGGGGGTTGGACTAGATGACCTCCAAGATCCCTTCCAGCTCTATTCTGATTGATTGATTGATTGATTGAAATGGTCTAGGGTGGTTCTCCTGCCTGAGCAGGGGGTTGGACTAGATGACCTCCAAGGTCCCTTCCAGATCTATTATTGCAAGTATGTTTTGTACCTATGTGTGTCTTTCCACGGGACTTCAGATTCCTAGGGGCAGGGGGGGCAGCCTTGCCTGGGTGGGGAGCACTCGTCTCCGCCACTCGCTCCTCCTTGCACCCATCTTGCCTGTTGCAATTAATCCCAACGGTTGTGCGTTTATTGTAGCAGCTGTGAACATTGTCGCCTTCGCAGGGAGAAGGAGGGGGAAGTGTGTTGGCTTTTGTGCATGGGGGTGGGGGGGGGAGGCCCAAGCCGTGAAAAAAAAAAAAACAACAACCCACCAACTCTGCTCTTCCCAGTTTGTCATTTTTCCCACGTGCTCCAAGCTGGGCCAGCTTTATTATCCTCGGAGTTGCAAACTCTTATCCTGGGTGTGATGTATCTATTCATTAGACCTAAACAGTAACTGTCGGCTTTGCTAATTCTCCCATAATTAGAGAGGCCGAATCATCCCCCCCCCCCCATTCCCTCCCCAGCTCGGCAGCCTTGATGCTCCTCATTAAGGGGCTGCAAACAGAAACTGTGGAGAGCAAATGGGAAGGAAAGGAAGGAAAGGAAGGGGGGGAAATATCTGGGTTTGGGGGGGGGAAAGGAACTGGCAGCCAGGAAGGGGGAAAAAAAATTATTCTTTGTGGAAATAGGCTCAATCCCATCAGAATACAGAATAACGGAGTTGGAAGGGACCTTGGAGGTCTTCTAGTCCAACCCCCTGCTCAAGCAGGAGACCCTAGACCATTTCAACCAACCAATCAAAATAGAGCTGGAAGGGACCTTGGAGGTCCTCTAGTCCAACCCCCTGCTCAAGCAGGAGACCCTAGACCATTTCAACCAACCAATCAAAATAGAGCTGGAAGGGACCTTGGAGGTCTTCTAGTCCAACCCCCTGCTCAAGTAGGAGACCCTAGACCATTTCAATCAACCAATCAAAATAGAGCTGGAAGGGACCTTGGAGGTCTTCTAGTCCAACCCCCTGCTCAAGCAGGAGACCCTAGACCATTTCAACCAACCAATCAAAATAGAGCTGGAAGGGACCTTGGAGGTCCTCTAGTCCAACCCCCTGCTCAAGCAGGAGACTCTTATAACAGTCACTGTTCAAAGTCACATCGGCACTGAAAAAAGTGACGTATGGCTGTTTTTGCACACTTAACCACCGTTGCAGCGTCCCCATGGTCCCGGGATCCAAAATTCAGACGCTTGGCAACTGACTCATATTTACGACGGCTGCAGTATCCTGGGGTCACGTGATCCCCTTTTTAACGACCTTCCGACAAGCAAAGTCAATGGAGAAGCCAGCGTGAACCATGTTACTAACCGTGTTACTAACCATTGAGGGATTCGCTTAACCACGGTGGCCAGAAGAGTCGTAAAACGGGGCCAAACTCAATGTCTCGCCTTAGCGACAGAAATTTGGGGCTCAGCTGTGGTCGTAACTAAAGAGGACTACCTGTATGTCAACAGCTTCCACCAGAGATCAAAGATGATGCTTAGATTAGACTGTCTTCTCTCTCTCTCTCCTGCAGCTCCTTCGTCGATATCCATCATGCATCAAGTTAGCCGGATGGTGGACAGCATCACCCTCTCGTGGTCTCAACCGGACCAGCCCAATGGGGTCATCCTGGATTATGAGCTCCAGTACTATGAGAAGGTATCAAGGAGAAGGTTGGGGAATCGGGCGTTGAAGATGGTCCATATTTGGACCGTGGCCTACATGAGAAAGTCCTAACCTTTCTCCTGGTGCGGTATCTTCCAGAAGCGTTTGGGTTGGTTAAGCGTGCAAATGTAATTATCTACAGAGGTTCTCCATCGTCCAGGTCAGGGGTCTTCAAACTTGGCCCTTTTATGTCCAGAAGTCATAAAAGGGCCAAGTTTGAAGACCCCTGATCCAGGTCATGCTTGTCCCAAAGACGTACGAACATAGCTTATCTCTTGAGATAATCACACACGGACCATAAGGTCTTGCCCGCCGTTTGTGTTTAACGTGGTTACTGGATTAATCCATTTTTCTCCTGTTTAACGTGGTTACTAAATTAATCCATTTTTCTCCTGTTTAACGTGGTTACTAAATTAATCCATTTTTCTCCTGTTTAACGTGGTTACTAAATTAATCCATTTTTTTTCCTGTTTCACATGGTTACTGGATTAATCCACTTTTCCCCTGTTTAACGGTTACTGAATCAATCCATTTTTCTCCTGTTTAACATGGTTACTGGATTAATCCATTTTAATGGATCACTGGGGGTGCCCGCAGAGGGGTCAAAAAAGTCAAAATGGCAGCCGGGATCGCGTCATCAATGCCACGCCCCCACGGCATTGGTCGCGTTGGTTAATGATCTCTGGAGGGCCCGGGACAGAGGGTATTCCACTGTCCTTGTTCTTTTGGACCTCTCAGCGGCTTTTGATACTGTAGACCACAGTATCATGCTGCGGCGTCTCGGTGGGTTAGGAGTGGGAGGCACCGTTATGCGGTGGTTCTCCTCCTTCCTCACCGACCGTACGCAGTCTG